CAATTTAGAGCAAAGGGCCTGCCCAAGAGAGAATTTCACCTTAGGAGCATACAGACCAGTCCAGTCTGTGATTATCTATCAAGGATTTCAGAATACAGACAGTATTTTACCACTCTTATATGTAAAACTCATCTGAATTGGCTTCATTACAACCAGATAACACACACACACACACACATCATTGCAACCACTTCTACACACAACAAAAGTTCACGGCAGAGATTAAAAATAAATATATACGTTAAAAGCAGGTGGTTCCATGGGAATTCTTACATCATGCGCCTAATGAGCCCAAACAATTAGCAATCAAATCACAACGTTTAATATCCAGCTAATTAATTTGTGTCATTTGTTCTACTTGAGGTTTTTGTGCTTCTTTCTTTTTTTCTTCCTGCAATGCCCTCTTGAAAGATTAGACAAAGGAACATACAAAATGAGGATATTCATCATGGCTGGAATGAGAGACCTGGAGTCCATGATTTGTAATATTTAAATAAAATCTTCCTGCCTTGAGGCCTTTTAGCAAGTAAGTGGGCGGCAGGTGAATTAATGGTTAAATAGCATTAACAGACAACAGCTCATAGACTTTGGAAGAAGAGATCAAGGATGACACGGAAGGCACAGAATGGAGCAGACTTATGGATTTGTATTGGGGTGCCAGTTGTAAGACCAGCAGAACAGGCTGAAGTGACACAGAGGAAGAAAGGCACTGCCTAAAACTTGAAGGCAATGTTTGCAGATAAATAAAAAAGTAGAAGAGGAGGAGGCTGAGACTATGTAAAAAGTGAAAGGAACAGGAGTCACGAGGTGCCCCTAGAACTATAGAAATTGAGAGACTTTTCCTTACTGTGAACTGTCCCAGTGACAGAGTTTTACAAGTTTCTGGCAGTTCCTGTGGCACATGTATGGTCCCAGTCCCAGCTGGGACATGACCATATATTAGTTACCCCCTAAAACAATATTCTGTTGGGATGAGATCTCTGAGTTGCCTTTTAGAGCAGGAGACACATTTATTTCCACAAGTCATGGCAGCCACACGTACAAACTATTGAGCTGCGGCTCCTTGTACTGAGTTCACATCAGGGATGATTCTTATTATACTAGAATTGGTCTGATTTCCTGTCGAGTCTCTACAGATTAATCACAGGAACCATCTTTCCAACCATCTCGCCAGCGTTCATCCACCCGGGAGCAGTCGAATTCAGACTTCCCCAACTTCCTGTTGATGTCATTATGAAGCAGGCATAGCCACTGGGATAAATTATTCCTGCTTCTGGCATCAGGCTGATTTGTGCGTAATCTGCAGAGGGAAGAGGAATCAAATGCTGTTTACTACTTTATAAGCAGTGATTTCACTCTCCAAAGCAGGTGTGTGGCCCACAGATGGTCAGAGCCTCTCTCATCCTCTATTTTGAGATGTCTCACAGAGACCATAAAGGCCAGCATACCGAGAT